GCGGGCTTGAGAATGGCACGGCCGGCGGATTCGATGAAGGAGCGTCCGGCGGACTTGTGGCAAGCACATGTGATGACCCCGGGCTGGACTCCGCTTTGTCCACGGTGAAAGTTGATGTATTTCCTCAGCGACCAGCACGGATCAGCTCTAGGCATAACGAAGCAGATATTGTCCTCTTTTGTAAGACCAAACAAAGTAGTTTCGCTTTTACAACGAAGCACACAGCGTCTTCACGACATGGTGGCGGCGGAAACAACAATACTACTGCGAGAATAAAAGTTACGCCTTTTTTCTTTGCGTGAACATTTGGGCGGCGTTATGCAAATCTTCCTACAGAGCGATGTAGGTATGTGGGGGCGTGTTAGAATGAGCCGTTTTAGGTAGGTGTGGCTGACTCTTAACTTTTATAAAGAATATCTCTTTGGATTTGAGACTTTAGTCTTTGCAACTTTACAGATCTTCTTTATGCACCAAGAGCTTGTAACACTCCAAAGAGAAAGGAAAAATTGAAATCACACATTTGTGATTGAACTGCAGCTAGTGCTTGTGTGTGTGTGTGCATCCATAGTTTTTCAGGATTGAAATGTTCTGCAACAGCGCGGTGATGATGCCCAGGGGACCCTTCAGAACACATTTGGTGTCCGTTCTCCACTTCTGCTGTGGCCGTCCCCTCTTATCTGTCATGCCGGCGCCCATGTCTCTCCCCATCACTGTCTTCTCCTCCACCCCACTCTGTAATCACACCATTCTTCTCTATCTTACCCTTTTCTCCCATTGTTTATCCTCTCGCTTTTCTAGCAACTCCTACTCTTTGAATGAGATAAATATTCTTGCTATTTTTAGGGGCATTTGCTAATTTATTTTATCCACTTTTGAAAGTGAGTTAAATCATGAGTGTTAGTGTGCATGTTTGTGTTCACAATACAGTGTTATTTTAGTAACATTGATCCTATTCATTCATCATTGATACTATTATAGTTTTTAATTAATTATTTTTTCCCCGTTTTCATTTTAATTTTAGTTAAAGGTTTAGTAATGTTGTTGTGTTGTTGTCATGTAGTTTACTCTCGCTTTTCTAGCAACTCCTACTCTTTGAATGAGATAAATATTCTTGCTATTTTTAGGGGCATTTGCTAATTTATTTTATCCACTTTTGAAAGTGAGTTAAATCATGAGTGTTAGTGTGCATGTTTGTGTTCACAATACAGTGTTATTTTAGTAACATTGATCCTATTCATTCATCATTGATACTATTATAGTTTTTAATTAATTATTTTTTCCCCGTTTCATTTTAATTTTAATTAAAGGTTTAGTAATGTTGTTGTGTATATATATATATTCTTTTCCGTTTTAGTTATGTTAGTACATTAACTTATATTAAATGAAAATAAGAAATGTTTCATTTTGAAACTAGCTGAAATGAAATCAGTTCATACTAATAATCACAATTAACAATTTATCCACATAGTAAACTATAGTCCATTAGCATAACCTCATACTGCATGCACTTTAAGAATTCAATTTTAGAATGTTTAATTTTAGAATTATTATTAGGGGTTGTTCATATCTTCAGACATACTTAAAACAATGATTTAATTGTATGATATATTCACAGACATTTTAAAACATTGTCAGTATTCATTATAGAAATCTTAAAACAGAAATGCATAAAGGTGGCTAATATTGATGCTATTTTAGTTCTGTTTACTTCACATCACAACAATCAAGGGAAGAAAGTCAGAATATACAATTTGGTCAAATTTGGCAAGTCTGAATATTACAAATTGGGTAATATCAAAATGGAGTCAACGTAGCAATATGCTATTTATGTCACATTAATATAGTATTCAATGAATGTTCATTGACAGTTGTGTATAATGTGATGAGGCTCATCCAAATAGGATCAGAACCTATGCTTATTATAATTCATCTTATAGTTCGCAATGTTTGTGCATGGTCTGTTCTGCTCTGACTAAGACTTGACCTAATTTCTACCATGCTTTCTACTCTCACCCTTTGTTGACCTGAATAAATGGTGCATTTCATTGTTTTGATGTTTTATTGTACTAGCGAATAGACTCATGTCTCTTGCTTTGAGAACACTACCGTTAAAAGGTTTGAAAGGTTCTTATAAAGAACACCACCAATCAACCAGACCCTAAAAGACATGGCAGATTGGGTGTCATTGAGATGGAAGGAAGGGACCTGTTAAGTGGGAACACGATGATCTGAATGTGCCTGGTCCCTGGGGAGGCACTGTTATACTGATATCTGATAAGAAGCAAAGAGAACATCTGCCACAAGAACATCTGCCAAAGATTGTGTCCTCTGTCGAGCTTTAGAAGAAGAACGGGGCAGGTCTAGACTCGCAGGGCAGCTGAACCATAAAGTGTCCAGAATTAGGACACTACAGTTAAAGTGTGAGGGTAGCTGCATAGAAAGTCAGACTCCACATTTTTCTTGAGCGGTTTGTCTTGATCACTTGGGATCCAACTTCAGGTGCAGCAGCCCAGAACTGAAAGAGTGGCAGCAAAACAACCCCCCCCCCCCCACCACCCTCCATATGTGACATCTCTGCTTTTTGTCTTTGTTTGTTTTCACCATTTTAAATCACTCCCTCTTTCCTGGGGCAACATTCAGGCCTGTAAGGGCCCGTTCAGTCGTTTTGTAGCATCACCCTTCACGTACGTTGGTTTGAGATGCGCAGTTCTTGAAGTATGCTTGGTATGTTTGGTTTGTTTTAACACAATAGATTGAATCAGTCCTCATAGTAACAGCTGATCTACTGATATTACCCTACCATCCCAATCTTAACCAATGTGAGTTGGTGTTGTCTCCCAGCCAACTCTGTTTCCATATTATCTCTCTGTTTTTTCTCAGGTTGAATGGATCACTTCCCAACAACATTGAAATCAAGAACAACACCCTGTTCTTCAAAGGCCCGGTGACCTATGAGTTCGGCGGGACATACGTCTGCGACGCCACCAATAGCATTGGCACACGCTCTGGACTTGTAGAGGTCAACGTGACGGGTAAGTTGTGGATGTTTATCTGAGATACCGTGTACGTGTGTTGATACTGGGAAAGCTTTAACCTGGGCCCAGGCGATTGTAGCTCCAGATATGTGAGTTGTATAGGAGTTGAACAATTTCGATAAACACTCTTCATAAAACACATAGATACAGTGGCTACAAAAAGTATTTGAACACTTAAGCCAAGGGTTTTTGAACTTTTTGATGTGATGGAGCACTGATCATCGCTGAAGAATAAATACATTTAAAAAATAAGTAATAATGAATGAATAAATAAGCAAACAGACTTTTTTTGCTAGTTCTTTGTTCTCATTTTTCTCCAGAAAAGTATATTAATTTTTATAATTAATTATAAAATTATATTAATTGTATAATATTTTATAATATATACAGTTTTATATATATTTTATAAATGTATATTCTCCATACATTATATGCATTTGTTTTATTATTACAGCCAGGACTGTCAACAAAATAAATACATTACAGTTCATTTCAAAATTGAAAAAAGGAAATGGCAATAAAATACAATTGGATTATATTTAATTTTATAAGATTTATATAATTTAGATGTAATTTTCCTTTGGCAGTCTTTTTTTAAATTTTTAGTGTAGTTGTGCTGTTTTTTTTTGTTTTTTTTTAATAAATGCTACTTGGTTTGATATTTTATTACATAAGGCAATGAGCATTTAAACATTTGAAGTGTGACTTTAGTGTCAGAATACGTTTTGTGCATGTTGAAGCCTGCACATGATTTTTCTTGCACTGCTGCATTTATGGAAGTTGTCCTCCTACCTATCGGTACGACCTGACAGTGAAGAAGAAGAAATTGCTGTCATTTCCTTTTCTTTAATTTCTCACAGTCACATCACACATCAGACTATATGCTGCCAGCAGCCACAATATTCACTCACACACAGACAGATGCTGAGATACAGAATAAAGCGCCTTGTCATTTTCTCCCAAAAATAACATCACAGTTTTGTTGCCTCTTTAGTATTGATCACAGGCACTTTGCAACAAACTCACATTTCTCCAAGCTACTTTCGCCTCCCACATCTTCTCCGTCTTCTCCGCCTTTATTTGGGTGAAAACAAGAACTACAAACGAAAACAGAGCCAAACTGGAGCCGTTCCTCTGCCTTCACTCTAATTGTCATATCAAAGACCTTTAGTTCACTCCTCAAGCTTTGCAATACATTAAGAACAAAAGACAATAATGAAAGGAGGTGATGCTGCTCTACATTGCTGAGCAGAACCCCAAATTTGGTCCAATATTTGAAGAGATCGGAGGCTTCTGCAGTTTTGTTCTGATAAAACTTGTACGCCTCTCTCTTTGCTTCAACAGGGAGCTTCTAACTTGCAGAGCTTTGCATGCTGGAGTCGACAGCTCGGCTTTTCTCCGTCATTGCATTTATTTGTGTGCGTGGGGTGTGTTTGCATGTAAACTTTCAGACCTTCCTCGTCCCACCGCGTCTCAGCTGGTGTTTCTGGTGATGTGACGTGGCAGGTTTTGATGATACGCTCCGCAGGGATGGGCAAACCATTAATGGAAGTCTGAATGGCTGATATTGAATGAGGAGTGAATGAGGAGTGGTGAAAATATTCTGCAGGCAGAACATTTCTGCCACTGATATGTATAGAGCTCCTCTGCTTTGGAAGAGATTATGTTGATCGTTTTCAAAATGGCAATGCAGGAAATGGTGAGAGTTCAACAATAGGTCAATATATATATATATAGTTTATCTATTGTATTTCACACGTCTCAACTTTTTCTCAGATGTTTCTCCAAGAGATATATTTTTGTCTATTGCAAGTAAAAGGCCTTTTAGTATAATTCTGAAACTGCCCACTTCAGGTCATGGTACACGTCTTTTTGCTGTAAAATCTGTGCTTATTTTTAAAAACTTTAATTTTGTCAGTAATATTTCAAGACAAACACTTACTAGACTGAGGCAACTTACTTCATCGTATATAATATACAGTATATTTTGTCCCCCAAAGATGAAAAAGACAGAGCTTTGATCATAAAACTAAGCATTCAAATATCATCTTACTAAGATATATTATTTGGAGTGACAGCTGATATTAGTATGCATTTTATGTAATTAGTCTGCTATCAGCAGCTATACCAAATTGCCTATTTTTGCTCAGTTTGGGCCTCTGAATATTTTTCCCCCTCTTTGATTATAAGCTTCATATTGTCTTATATAATACTATATGAGCCATACAAATCCTGATAAATCAAATATGATACTCCAAAAATGCATTTTTTTAACAATTACATTTCAGACCATTATTTTACATTTCAGGCTTTACAGGGTTACAAAAATAGAAGTAGAAAACGAATGTTGGTAGTATACAGGTAGCTAATTTTATAGAATGGGAAATCATGGACTATTTTGAGATATTGTTGAGATCTCTTCTGAGCATGCAAGTGAGATTACTATAGTCATTTTCTTAGGGAAAAAAAAAATTGGGAAGCAGGAAACTTCCATTTTGTTTTTAGGAGGAGCAATCGAGCTATTAAATACATCTCATTTGTGAAACATTCCCATATGAGTTCATGTCCCCTCATTTCTGTACAGAAGGAAGTTTCTCTTCAGAAAACGTAATTCTCATAAAGTTGCTGTCTCCTCTCTCCTTCTCACCCTCCAAAGGTCACCAGCAGAACATGCACTGAAAGCCTTATTTGTTCTTTCCGACCTCTGTTTGGCAATGCCTGGGGATTGTTTCAGCATTGCATGTGCCCATTTGATGATAGATGCCTCCTCTAGGGCAACGTCTATCCTTTGATGGATCATTCCATCCAGGGTCGTTGAACCTCTGTCTCTCTCTTTCTATGTTTGTGGGAGAGCTCACAGATATTGAAGTATCAAAAAGATAATTATTAAGAGATTGTTGGTGTGATGTGTTTCATATGCATGTAATTTTTCATTTTTGTGCAAGACAAACATAGGTAATATTTTTGTGGGCAGTGTGAACACTGTGGTGTTCAACATGTTGACTTCTGGCTCAACCAGAGGTGTGAGTTTGAGGCTACCTGGCTGACTGAACAATAAACGACACGTTTTGTGATTTGCAATTTTGTCTGGTGCCACCAGTGGTGCATAAATGCGGTTTTAAATATTCTATACGCTGTGCTCATCTGCAGTGTTGAATCTTTCAATTTCATCATGCCTTTTTTATGTGTTCATTATAGTTTTATTTGTAGTCACAACTTCCATGGCAGCAGCTGTTCTCCCTTTACGACTCTATATTAATCTCATTCCCATTCCTGGGAGTATTTCATTAATAACCGTGACTGAGATGTTCGGCCTACGCACAATGCTTTGAGGACTGTAGTTGATGCAGAATCCTTTGTTTTAAAGTCAACATGAAATCAAAATGTACCCTATATTACTTTCCTAATGCTCATTCCTGGTCTTATTCTGCTTGTTTCTTCAGTCCAAAAATGTTTATAATTGTTGGACTCTAATATGTCAACAAAATGAAACAAGTATTTTAAACCTTACTTCATCCAATGTTCAGATTTTTGTTCTGGAGATATATGAAAATTAGAGCATATATAATTAGATAATGGCTTATTCGCATATTTAAACATAACATTTTAGAAAATGTGTAATGCAAAAAAAGTTTGCATTACGTAATGCATTCAATCAACCGGTAAAGTATGTATGTGTTTTATTTAATTACATTTTTTTATATATATTTACCTGGGTTGTTTTGCCTTCAACATGAAATCAAAATAGACTCTGTTTGTTTTCTTAATACATATTACATATCTTACCGTGCTTGATTCATCAGTATAAAAATGTTTGTAATTTTTTCTCTAAATGTATTCAAATGTTTTGCCTCTGAAATGAATTTTCTTTTTGGCTGACTTTTCGAATCTCTCTTACTTTTCGATCCTCCAACCGTCTGGTTCCATTCTGGTGTGCAACAGATATTTCAATCAACGCCCGATGGATAAAATCAAGTTCTGCCCTACTAATTGTAGCGAATTTAGCTCACAACAGGAAATATGAATAATTAACCATAACTAGTTATAATTAACTATTCATATTTTAGATCCGCTGTAGATATTTAGCTGACCACTCAGGGTCAACTGTCTTGTCAATTCTAAGAACGTTAATTTCCTGGTTAAGGGAAATAACTTCTTACTGTACAATTCTACACAGAGCTTGTTACGTAAATCTGCATGATTAGTGACTCCGGTTATGAGCAAACAATGAACACGTCAAGCGTGATACAAGTAAAGTTTTATTAACTACATAAACACTTAAACTAGTCTAACATACGACATAAACACATAAACTGGTCTAACATACACATACACACACACACACACACACATACAGTTGGTATAGGAAAGGGTTAAAGTTTAACTCAGCACAGAAAGAGGCATAAAGAATGAATTTTATGGAACACTTTGCAGGCATCCAGTTTATTGAGTGAGGGGACTGTGACGATTTGTTAATCTAATGAATAATTGATTTGTTAAATCAAATAAAAATTAGTGTGTCAGATTGGTCGAGACGCTACATAATTTTTATTGTTGAATATCTTGACTCAGGTTGCAGAAGTAAAATGGGATGCAAGCAGCTCGTGTTGACTTTAAAGTGAGATGGCATAATCGAATCGCAGTCAGTCCAGGATACAATGCGAACCCTCCTTGACTGTCTGTAAATCTTCACTGCCGCAGCTCTACAGTCCCTGTAGTTTTGTACCGCAGCCTGCATGGCCAAACGAGATGCTAATAAGGTTTTTCCATCTGTCCTTATCATGGCTAGAGGGAAACCTCTCCACGGAAGAGCACATATGGGCTATTACAGCCTCATTCTCATAGTAAAAGTGGAAGTGACACCTCTGGCAAAAGCAGCCCACTCAAACACTGTAAAACAGTGTTCTGCGCTCATTCAGTTCAACACACATCGCCCCTGAAAGAGTGCGAGAGCTGAAGCCTCCACGTGACCAGCTTCCCCAGTATCACAGCGTCGG